TTATTACTATTTGGTGGGAGAAGTTTTCCCTGCTAGTCATGTGTCTCTGCTAAGCATTCCTAATGGATTCATTGGCAATCCCCACCCCCAACCCAGTATAAATGTAGACCTTCCTTGGGGTAGCACAGCCAGGGGCAGCATTGGCAACAATCAACATGGATGAAGTATTGACCATGGATGAAGTATGGACCATGGATGAAGTATTGATCATGGATGAAGTATTGACCATGGATGAAGTATTGATCAATGAATGAAGTATTGATCATGGATGAAGTATGGACCATGGATGAAGTATTGATCATGGATGAAGTATTGACCATGGATGAAGTATTGATCATGAATGAAGTATTGACCATGGATGAAGTATGGACCATGGATGAAGTATTGACCATGGATGAAGTATTGACCATGGATGAAGTATGGACCATGGATGAAGTATGGACCATGAAGTATGGAATGGAAGAAGTATTGATCATGGATGAAGTATTGACCATGGATGAAGTATTGATCATGGATGAAGTATTGACCATGGATGAAGTATGGACCATGGATGAAGTATTGATCATGGATGAAGTATTGACCATGGATGAAGTATGGACCATGGATGAAGTATTGATCTTGGATGAAGTATTGATCATGGATGAAGTATTGATCATGGATGAAGTATTGACCATGGATGAAGTATTGACCATGGATGAAGTATGGACCATGGATGAAGTATTGACCATGGATGAAGTATTGACCATGGATGAAGTATGGACCATGGATGAAGTATGGACCATGGATGAAGTATTGATCATGGAGGAAGTATTGATCATGGAGGAAGTATTGACCATGGGATGAAGTATTGATCATGGATGAAGTATTGATCATGGATGAAGTATGGACCATGGATGAAGTATTGATCATGGATGAAGTATTGATCTTGGATGAAGTATTGACCATGGATGAAGTATTGACCATGGATGAAGTATTGATCTTGGATGAAGTATTGATCATGGATGAAGTATGGACCATGGATGAAGTATGGACCATGGATGAAGTATTGATCATGAAGTATGGACCATGGATGAAGTATTGAACATGGAGGAAGTATTGACCATGGATGAAGTATTGATCATGGATGAAGTATTGATCTTGGATGAAGTATTGACCTTGGATGAAGTATTGATCATGGATGAAGTATGGACCATGGATGAAGTATTGACCATGGATGAAGTATGGACCATGGATGAAGTATTGACCATGGATGAAGTATTGATCATGGATGAAGTATTGATCATGGATGAAGTATTGATCATGGATGAAGTATGGACCATGGATGAAGTATTGACCATGGATGAAGTATTGATCATGGAGGAAGTATGGACCATATATGAAGTATTGACCATGGATGAAGTATTGACCATGGATGAAGTATGGACCATGGAGGAAGTATTGACCATGGATGAAGTATGGACCATGGAGGAAGTATTGACCATGGATGAAGTATGGACCATGGAGGAAGTATTGAGTGCTGCACCTCGGCCCATGCACAAAGCGAGAAGCCGACAACTTCAAATACTAATCAGACTTCAGGTGACCTGTTTCCCCATCCAGATCTTTATCTCTTACCCAGTCTGCATCTTCATCCCACCACTCTGTAACATGAACTCCCTACTCCTCCTTCTCATGCACCCCCTACTCCTCCTTCTCATCCCATCCTTCTCATGCACCCCCTACTCCTCCTTCTCATGCACCCTCTACTCCGTCTTCTCATGTACCCCCCTACTCCTCCTTCTCATGCACCCCCTACTCCTCCTTCTCATGCACTCCCTACTCCTCCTTCTCATGCACTTCCTATTCCTCCTTCTCATGCACCCCGTACTGCTCCTTCTCACCACTGTTGTGTCCTCTCTCTTCAACCTCGCTCTCCTTCACCACCCTACAACTCATATATATCACCTTCACTCCTGTCTTCACCTTATTACTGCACTCATCAACTCCTGATAATCCTGAACCCACACACTAATAACACCTCCAGGACCCTGGAACCTGTCCCTCCGTATAAGTCATACTCCCATATTACCTCCCTCACCCTTCTGCTTCTCCTAACATCTGGAGCCATTTCCACAAATCCTGGACCACCATCTTTTTCCTTTGATCAGCACAACCGGCACCCCTTATACTCTAACAGCGGCTGCAGTCCACACAATCTGGTTACTATTCCTCTTCTTCTAGAACCAGCCTCCCCTTTTCCTGGACCCTCTGGAATCCCCATCTGTCTGTAACACTCACCTCTGTCCATGACCTTTCATCACAAACTCCATTCACTTGCTTGCAATTACGGAAACCTGGCTTCATGAATCAGACTTTTCCTCTCCTGCTGCCCTCTCCCATGGTGGTCTCCTCTGGGACTCTCCCATAGTGGTCTCCTCTGGGACTCTCCCATGGTGGTCTCCTCTGAACTCATTCTCCCAGGCCTAGTGAACAGAAAGGAGGTGGAGCTGGAATCCTCCTATCCCGTCAAAGCACTTTTCAGGTCCTTCATTCACCTCCCTCTCCTCATTTGAAGTTCACTCCAGTCGTCTGTTCTCTTTAGTTTCTTTAAGAATTGCTGTGATCCATCGTCCTCCTGGACCGTATCAATGATGACTTCTCTGCCTGGCTGCCTTACTTTCTCTCTTCTGAAATTCCCGCAATCCTTCTCAGTGACTTCAACATCCCTGGTAACCTTAGCACTCCTGCAACAATGGACGCATGCTTCTACTCTCACTCCAATGATACCGGCCTCCACCTTGTATTCTCCTACCTATGCACTTCTTCTTGCAACCTCATCAACTTTCCTCTTCCTCTCTCTGATCACTCCCTTATTAGCTTCACTCTCTCGGCTTCCTCCTCGTCTTCCAACTACCGAAGAGTTACCCGTAGAAACCTTCGCCATCTTAACCCTTCTCTTCTTTCAGCAACAGATTGTCTCTAACAAAATCTCAGCCCTGTCCTGCCCCAACCTGGCCACTTCTGTCTACAACAGTTCACTGTCATCCACCCGGGACACATTGTCCCCCTCACTGCACAATGAATTAGACCCCGACCGCTACAGCCCTGGCAAACAGACAATACCAGATGCCTCAAAATACGTAGCCGTGCTCTGGAGCATTTATGGAGTAAGACTAAGACCCAGCAAGACTTCAACCAACATAAATCTTCCCTTCAAAAACACTTCTTGTCTCCACAATGCCAAACAGACCTATTTCCTCATCTCATTAACACCCTCTCATGCAATCCCTCTAACTCTTTTCTGCCTTTAACTCTACTTCGTCCTTTACCTCCTCCCACTAACTCACGGCCCCGGAGATCGCTAATCACTTCAAAAAGAAGATTGATACAATTCATGACGAGATATCCACTGTACAGACATGTCCCTCACCCTACACTCCTTGTCCAACGGACATGTCCCTCACCCCTACCACCCTCCTTGTCCACCGGACATCTCCCTCACCCTACACTCCTTGTCCAACGGACATGTCCCTCACCCTACACTCCTTGTCCACCAGACATCTCCCTCACCCTACACTCCATGTCCACCAGACATCTCCCTCACCCTACCCTCCTTGTCCAACGGACATGTCCCTCACCCTACACTCCTTGTCCACCAGACATCTCCCTCACCCTACACTCCATGTCCAGCAGACATGTCCCTCACCCTACCCTCTTTGTCCACCTGCACAATCTATACTTCCTTTGTGTAACCCAGCTACTATAGAGGAGGTTGGTACACTATTTTCTAAAGCCCACCTAACCATCTGCCCCCTGGACCCTGTTCCCTCGCAAATACTACGGTAACCCTCTGGCTCTATCCTTCACTCTAACTCATATCTTCAATCTCTCCCTTTCTATTGGCATCTTCCCCAACCCTCTGAATCATGCGCTAGTCACCCCCATACTTAAAAAGGCCTCAGTGGACCCCACCAATCTTAGCAACCTAAGACCCATCCCCTTACTCCCTTTTGCCTCCAAACTCTTTGAACGTCTAGTCTACAACCGGCTGAGCTGCCACCTTATTGAAAATAACCTTTTTGATCCCCTTCAGTCTGGATTTCGCCCACAACATTCCACAGAAACTGCTCTCCTAACACTCATAAACGACTTACATACCACTAAAAACCAATGGTCACCATTCCGTACTCTTACTCTTGGACCGCTCTACTGCCTTTGACACACTTGGCCACGCCCTTCTCTTCAAAAACTCTATTTACTGGGTCTCCATGGATGTACTCTCCGTTGGTTAGAATTTTACCTATCTCACCGCACCTTCAGTGTCACTTACAACTCTATTTCCTCCTCTCCTACTCCTCTTACTGTCAGGGTCCCCGTCCTTGGACCTCTCCTACTCCTCCTACTGTCGGGGTCCCCCAAGGTTCTGTCCTTGGACCTCTCCTACTCCTCTTACTGTCGGGGTCCCCCAAGGTTCTGTCCTTGGACCTCTCCTACTCCTCTTACTGTCGGGGTCCCCCAAGGTTCTGTCCTTGGACCTATTATCGATCTACACTATTTCCTTGTGTCAGCTGATAGCTTCCCATGGTTTCCAATACCATTTCTATGCTGATGACACAAATCCCTCTACTCCTCTTCAGTCTCCCCCCATCAGTCCTCCTCCTCAGCTCCCCCCCATCAGTCTCCTCCTCAGCTAGCCCCCCCATCAGTCTCCTCCTCAGCTGACCCCCCCCCCCAGTCTCCTCCTCAGCTCTCCCCCCCCCCGTCTCCTCCTCAGCTCCCCCCCCCCCCATCAGTCTCCTCCTCAGCTCCCCCCCCCCATCAGTTTCCTCCTGTATCACCGATTTACTAACAGACATATCAGACTGGATGTCACTCCACTTCCTAAAACTCAATCTATCCAAAACTGAGCTCATAATAATACCTCCCCCCTCGTGCCTCTTCCCCTGATTTCTCGATCAGGATCAATAGAACCACTATCAACCCAACCCCCCCATGCCAGAGTGCTAGAGGTAACCCTGGATTCTGAACTATCCCTATAGGCCCACATCCAATCCCTGTCCAGACATGGTGCCTCAACCTCCACAACATCTCCAGAATATGCCCCTTCCTGACCAATCACACCGCACCGCACAGCTCCTAATTCAGTCCCTGGTCACCTCTCACCTCGACTACTGCAACTCCCTCCTCATTGGATGACCTTTACATAGGCCACACCCCCTCCAGTCCATCTTGAATACTGCTGCCAGGGTCATCCACCTCACCAACCATTCAGTGTCCTCCACCCCTCTCTGCCAATCCCTCCATTCAGTGTCCTCCACCCCTCTCTGCCGATCCCTCCACTGGCCTCCATTCAGTGTCCTCCACCCCTCTCTGCCGATCCCTCCACTGGCCTCCATTCAGTGTCCTCCACCCCCCTCTGCCAATCCCTCCACTGGCCTCCACTCAGTGTCCTCCACCCCTCTCTGCCGATCCCTCCACTGGCCTCCATTCAGTGTCCTCCACCCCTCTCTGCCGATCCCTCCCGAGCTTCTCCCATCTTATGGAACTCCCTACCCCAATCTGTCCGGCTGTCTCCTAATCTATCCACCTTTAGATGATCCATGAAAACCTCTCTCTTTAAAGAAGTCTATCCTGCTCCCACCTAGTAAACTGCCATTTATTTCCTCCATCAGCCCCTCCCCCACAGCTATTACCTTTTGTATCGCTCAGTCCCTCCTCTTAGATTGTAAGCTCCCAGGATCAGGGCCCTCTGTTTCCTCTTGTACCAGACTGTATTGTACCTGTCCTGTCTGCCTTCATGTTGTACAGCGCTGCGCACACTGTTGGCGCCATATAAATCCTGTATAATAATAATAATTTCACTCATGTAATGCCTCGAGTTCAAGGAGTAGTTAGTATGCAGAGAAATGGCCCGACACGTTTCTTGGACAAAGTCCACTTCTTCAGGAGCCACTTTCTGCTTCAATCTCCCAGGACAATAATCAACATTAGTAATCCTTATGCTGCTGGAATTGGTGAACAGATAGGAGGGGAGATTAGATTTGCTTTTTTTTTTACATTTCTTCAGTTACTTCCTGGTATCTGGCCTAGGCCAAAATGATGTCCTACCTCCCAGGAGTCTTCAGGAAGGGCTTTCTCAGCTATGCACACTCTCCTGCCTGCATGTGTGAGCTAGGGGCAGATGGATTCCAGGAAGTAAATGATACATGAATCATCTGCACTTATTTAAGATGGCCACTACCAGTAATGCTGGGGGGGGGGGGGGGGGGGGGGGGGGGGGGGGGGGGGGTTTCCAAGTGATTTCTCATCAAAAATAAATGAAGACATGGTTGGATGGATGGAGACATGGAAAGAGACATGGATGGATGGATGGATATGCAGATGATGGATGGAGACATGGATGGATAGAGAAATGGATGGATAGAGCCATGGATGGATGGATGGATAGAGAAATGGATGGATAGAGCCATGGATGGATGGATAGAGCCATGGATGGATGGAGACATGGATGGATAGAGACATGGATGGATGGAGCCATGGATGGATAGAGACATGAATGGATGGATGGAGATGAGGATGATGGATGGAGACATAAATGGATGGATAAAGACATGGATGGATGGAGACATAGATGGAGATGCAGATGATGGATGGGGACATGAATGGATGGATGGAGACATGGATAGAGACACGGATGGAGACATGGATGGATGGAGACATGGATGGATGGAGATGCAGATGATGGATGGGGACATGAATGGATGGATGGAGACATGGATAGAGACACGGATAGAGACATGGATGGATGGAGATGCAGGTGATAGATAGAGACATGGACAGAGACATGGATGGATGGATGGATGGAGACATGGATAGAGACACGGATAGATGGATGGAGACATGGATAGAAACACAGATGGATGGAGACATGGATAGAGACATGGATGGATGGAGACATGGATAGAGACATGGATGGATGGAGACATGGATAGAGACATGGATGGATGGATGGAGACATGGATGGAGACATGGATAGAGACACGGATGGATGGATGGAGACATGGATAGAGACACAGATGGATGGAGACATGGATAGAGACACGGATGGATGGATGGAGACATGGATAGAGACACAGATGGATGGAGACATGGATAGAGACATGGATGGATAGAGACATGGATGGATAGAGACACGGATGGATGGATGGAGACACGGATGGATGGAGACACGGATGGATAGAGACATGGATGGATGGAGACATGGACAGAGACACGGATGGATGGATGGAGACATGGATGGATGGAGATGCAGGTGATGGATGGAGACATGGATGGATGGAGATGCAGGTGATAGATGGAGATGCAGGTGATAGATGGAGACATGGACGGAGACACGGATGGATGGATGGATGGATGGAGACATGGATGGATAGAGACACGGATGGATGGATGGAGACATGGATAGAAACACGAATGGATGGATGGAGACATGGATAGAGACACGGATGGATGGATGGAGACATGGATAGAAACACGGATGGATGGAGACATGGATAGAGACATGGATGGATGGATGGATGGAGGCATGGATAGAAACACGGATGGATGGATGGAGGCATGGATGGATGGAGACATGGGTGGATGGATGGATGGAGACATGGATAGAGACATGGATGGATGGAGACATGGATAGAGACATGGATGGATGGAGACATGGATGGATGGAGACACGGATGGATGGATGGAGACACGGATGGATGGAGACATGGATAGAGACACGGATGGATGGATGGGGAGAGTTTGCTTTGAATGGTAACAATGAATGAAATGTGTTCAGTTTGTGGTGCTCAGACGCCGAGTGGTTCTGCTTTACGTTGTGTGTTGCCATTTAAAGAGAATTTTATGACATTTGTGCTTTAGGAGATGGCAGGAGGTTGGAGTTGGAGTTGGAAGTTTGTGCGATTATTAAAGATGGCGACCTGTAAGCAGTCTTCTTTTTTCGGTGCCATTGCTGGACATTGGTGGGAACTGAGGCCATTGATTGGACATAGGGCAGATTGTTGTGTCGGTGAATGGGGCCCTTCATTAAAGTGTTGTGTTCATTCATTTGGAGAGGTTTAGCAGCGCTCTTCAACGCCCCAAATATCGGAGATGCACATTTTTTTTTAATTTACAGGGAATTAAGGCGCTCATGCGGACCATCTCTCATGTTTGGGTCCGGTCCGGGTCAGAACCTGCAGAGAGATCCAAAACCTGGAGGGAAAACCCAGCAATATGGCAACTTTGATTTGCAGGATCTCCTTTGATTGAGTGAGCGCCCCCCCCCCCCCCCCCCCAATATATGACTTCACACGTTGCCCAATCAGAGCAGTACAATGGGTGTCCAATAAGCACGCTGATAACATGGCGAGTGGCGCCACCAGTCTAAAGCAAAACCAGATAAAGATAAAGATAAAACAAAAAAAAAAGAAGAAAATGTGTAAATATGTATCCCTGAGACTCCTCGGAGGCTGGACTCCAGAGTTGGCTCTCCACCCCTTGCTCCTCCTCCCTCCTTTTTTCAAGCGGGAGTAAAGCAGCCCCTAAAGATCACTAAAACAGGAAACTACCAAACAACACAAAAGATCATTTTTAAAATCTTTATTTTATATAAACAACTTTCTTTATACAAAAACAACATCGATGATAAACACAACGAATGTCTGCAGCTTTCACTGTCTGTGATTTGGATACCAGGAAGTCTTCTTCAGGCAGAAATACCTGAGACATGGAAGATCGCTCTGACAGAGAAGACATCGATCTCCGGATATAAAGGGAAGTTATACATGAGATGTAGATGTCCCACCAAGGATCTGAGGAACCCATGAAGAGCCTCTATTGATAGGAGCATTATGCTGACTCCAACCTGAGTGCTGTAGTTCCACCACCACTATGGGGGTACATATCAATGGCCGCACCTCTCCTCCAGTCACAAATGTCTTTGTGTTGGATCTGTAACTGGAGGAGTGGTGGATAACGGGGAGCGGATGGTGACATTTGCTGCCCATAAATCAATCCTGAGATTGTTCCCACATTTGGGATTGGGAAATCGGTTTCTACACCCCGGAAATGTTTCTAATATTATATACACCCAAAGGGAAAGAACAGAGGGGGTCAAAGAAAAGGATCTCTCAGCCTCGAGCTGTCCCGAGAGGTCTCCGCCCTCCAAGGTTCTACCCCAATATTTTGTGCCGTCATTGAGTCCTCAAGCATGTTTTCTCCTGGAGGAGATCCAGGGTGTGGAGACATTTCTTGGCGTTCCCCATGAACTAGAAGCTCCACCCCCTTAGCACTGCGTCCCGTAACTCAGAGTTTCTCCCCCCCCATAATATACATCCAACATGTCATGAAAATACCCTTTAATGTCAGTGTATGGAACAAGTATTATGGGACAGAACACCTTCATGGTGACAGAAAACATAGAAAAATACATCTTTTGTGGAGATCATAAAACAAGTAGAATCTCTGGAAGGATCAGGTCAGACATGTTACAGATCGGCACTACGGCACATGAACCCTCAGATCACCTCCAGATGCAGAAATAGATCATCTTCCAGACACATTATTCCTTTTGTTTCTCTATAAGTGCACTAAGAAATGACAGCTGGAAGCTGATTGGTTGATGAGGGAAACTTTCCAAGAGGCGATGTTCTACGTAAAGCCAAATTCCAGTCAAAACTTTTGTTCTGTCTCCAATCTAAGCATTGAGAGTGATCTCTAACCTACAGTTGTGATGAGCCAGCGAGAACTCCAATCTTACACAGGCAGTGACTCCATCGGACGACATCTTGTAGATCTTGTGAAGTTTATTCCATAATCTGAGAGAATCTTACAGCAATGAACATTCGATAGGTCAAAAGATCATAATGGGCCCTGCTTCATGCCATGAGGCTTGCTGCCAATGGGAAAAGGGGTGGAGCTATCTATAAAGCATGAACTAAACCAGAGGAAAGGGAGGAGCAACAAAATACAGAGAACACTTAAAGGCATAGGACAGTCACGTGAAGCATCACAACCTTTATTGGCTTTTGAGGACATTTTGGTAGAGAACATCCTTTTGGCATATTGTATTGTCTGTGACCCCCACTGGGAGGTTTCCCATCGCTTCTTGTCCCAGCAGGAAGTGAGGAGAAAATTCCACAATGGGGGGGCCCCGCAGAGGCCCCAATAAAAACCTATTGTTGCTGCCACAACGTGCCTCATAGCGATACATTATACTTGGACTCCTCCCATCTTCTGACTCCTCCCATCTTCTGACTCCTCCCATCTTCTGACTCTCATGTCGTGTCGGCACACTTTTATTGGGTTATCTTAGTGGAAGAAACAGACTTTTTTGGACTTTTGGATGTGGAACTCCTGCTTTTCCCAATAAAAAGAATGCGAAGTATGTTCTATGCCTTCCTGATCTGTGCAATATTGACAGGAAAGTTTTGTCTGGAGTTGGGCTTTAATGTCTGCTGTGTACATGAAAAGGGTGCCGAATACTGGATCCCCTCCCCCCTCCTGAGCTGTCAGGGCTCCCATTGGCTACGCCACCAAGTATGGATCTGAAATCACTACTCATCGCCTCCCAGTACTGACCAGACAGATTCTTATTGGTTAACACCAAAACATGGATGATGCTGACCAATCAGAATCCGTCTAGTCTGTCCTGTCAGTACTGGAAGGGGAGGAGAGAAAGCAGCGGGAACGTCAAATCCCTGGATTGGTGGAGGGGCAGCCCTCGGAATCGGGGGGGGGGGGGGGGGCATTGTTGGGTCACCTGTAACACTTTAGAGACAAGCACAGGATTTTGGCAATATTTTTTGATCTATATATATTCATATTGTAATACAAGAGTTGGGGGTCCCCCCCCCCCCCCCCCCCGGGTCAGTCCCCCCCCCCACGTCCCGTCTCTATGACACTCTTCCCAAAAATACAAGCCATGGGCACCTCCCTGCCGGCGACGGCATTTCTGTGGTTTTCTGGTCATTTCACAAAATCTTTATTTATATGTAAAATTCTGGCAATTTCCCCGACACTTTCCTGCGACTGGCGTCGCCGTTAGCAACATATAAAATCCCCGTCCGACACCCCAGCGATAAATTATAGAAGCTCTGAAAAGATTAAATCAAATGTATATAAAAATCATATAAAAGCACAACATAGGAGACCGATAAAGCAGACCTGTCACCGGGGCAAACCAAGGACACCAAACCTGCACCGGCTGCACATGGAGGCCGCCATTGCTGACCTACCTGAGGTCTGGAACAAGAGGACTGTAAGTCCCGACATCCCTGGCTACCGGCCCAGAAAAGGAGAAGTAGCTGCGGACAGCATGGCGGCCCCCCCCCCCCCCCCCCCCCCCGCGTTTATTTCCTTTAGAACCAACACATTGCGGAGCCAATTATGCCCAATGGTGGGTTGTTCCTTCTATATCCATGTGAAGCTGCCATGGAGGACATGTACATGGACCGACACGTGTGTACTGGGTCTGAGCATGCTCACTCCCTTCAGCAGCTAGGAACAGCCGTGTCACATGATGATCACATGACGTTTAGGGTTAGAGCTCTTGCCGTTTCATACAAGGAATCCCTTACAATGGACTTCTCTGGTGACAGACTAGATCCTCCAATCAGGAGTTCAGAAAGACGTCTTAAAGGACCAATAAATGAAGACAACCATTTTTGTTTTATGGCGTGATGTACATTTTCGCCATTTTTGACTTACCGATGGCAACCTACCAATATGGGGCTCCTGGAGAGGAAGAGAACTGAGTACATAAGAATTCTCCCAATCACCTCTGACTCTGATAGGCCGGTGAATGCTTTCTATAGAGCACTTTGTGAATTTGGGGTGAACGCCCTTTTTAGGGTGACAGGTCTGCTTTACGAGGCGCAATCTACACAACATGACAATAATAATAGTAATGATGGAATTTCCTGCAGCAAGGGGGGGGCCACGTCTGAGGTCCCCATAGAGATGACCAGGACTGAGCTGGAGTCCTGAGATGGGAAGGAGCGAATGGTCCTCCATACTGGCTATGTACAGAGTGCTGCGGGCGGGGGAGCACCGACGGTTCCTGCGGGTCTTCGAAGGGTCACAGTGTGCAGGTTAGTCCTCGTCTCCACCATACATGTCGGCCAGCTTGGTGAAGCGCGGCCCCCAGTCATTCAGAGCGCTGTAATCCTGATCCCCCCCGGAGCTGGAGGAGTGCAGGGAGCTGAGAGAGGCGGCTTCGGACCCGCTGCCTTCATAATCGAACACCAGCAGGGAGTCATACGGGGGGGCGGTGGGGTCGTTGTCAGCCGCGTGCAGATTCTGGGGAGGCAGAAAGAAGTGGTCAGATGTCAAAGCTTCATACATCACGTGTGGTGAGCGCACAACATCTGGTCATACATCACGTGTGGTGAGCGCACAACGTCTGATCAACTGATCATACATCACATGTGGTGATAGCTCACAACATCTGGTCATACATCACATGTGGTGAGCGCACAATGTCTGATCATACATCACATGTGTGGTGAGCGCACAACGTCTGATCATACATCACGTGTGGTGAGCGTACAACGTCTGATCATACATCATGTTTGTATGTTCTCCCTGTGCCTGTGTGGATTTCCTCTGGAGACTCTGGTTTCCTCCCACACTCCAAAGACATGCTGGGAGGTTAGTTAGCTCCGGTCTACATTGGCCCTAGTATATGAATGTGAGTTAGGGACCTTAGACTGTACGCTCCTCGGGGGCGGGGCCTGATGTGATGTATAATATATGTACAGTGCTGCGTACATTGATGGCGATATAGAAGTACCTGAAATAAATAAATAAAATACTCTCTGCCTCTGGACTGTTATCAGTTAGCATTGTTCTCTGCTATTTCTGTGAACTACAAAACACCTCCCCCTGTTATCGAGCCAAGTGGATGGTGTTATGAAGTCCCTGTCCTAGGGTGGGGTGACAACACTGCTCATTATGTTGTCACCCAGGGACAGGAAGTGAGGTAAAAGCAGAATTACCAGTTAAAGAGGAGCTCCACTCACCTGTCAAAATGTAAAAGTCATCAGCTGCAAAAACTAGACAAAAACTGGCTTTTAAAAACCAGCCCCTTACCTGTCCCTCGGTCCCGTGGTGTCCCCCCCGATCCCGTGGTGTGTGCTCGCCCCGTGGTGTGTGCCCCTCGGTCCCGTGGTGTGTGCCCCTCGGTCCCGTGGTGTGTGCCCCAGTCTCGTGGTGTGTGTCCCCCGGTCTCGTGGTGTGCCCCTCGGTCCCGTGGTGTGCCCCCCGGTCAGGTGGTGTGCCCCCCGGTCCCGTGGTGTGTCCCCCGGTCCCGTGGTGTGTGCCCCTCGGTCCCGTGGTGTGTGCCCCTCGGTCCCGTGGTGTGTGCCCCTCGGTCCCGTGGTGTGTGCCCTCGGTCCGTGGTGTGTGCCCCCGGTCCCGTGGTGTGTGCCCCGGTCTCGTGGTGTGTCCCCGGTCTCGTGGTGTGTCCCCTCGGTCCCGTGGTGTGTCCCCCGGTCAGGTGGTGTGTCCCCCGGTCCCGTGGTGTGTCCCCCGGTCCCGTGGTGTGTCCCCCGGTCCTGTGGTGTGTCCCCCGGTCCCGTGGTGTGTCCCCCGGTCCCGTGGTGTGTCCCCTGCAGCCCGTGTCACCAGCCGTCCTGTATTCCAGGCGCCGGCATCTTCAGTGTGGGCACCCAGCAGGGACAGCTTGCGGCTTCACAGTCGGGGCCCCACTGAGCATGTGCGAGAAGCGCTGAGCTTCCTGAATGGCCCCGTAGTCTTCTGGGACCTGTCACGTTTCATGGGGAGGGAGGGGGGAGGACAGCTTCTGCTTCTGATCACTTTGGACCGGAAGTGGGAGGTGGGTACCTGTCAAATTTGGGTACCCCCCCCCTGCCCCCCAAAGGTGCCAATCCTTACTGGGGAGCGGTCCTAACAGTGGAACTTCCCCTTTTGGGTGGAGCTCAAAGTGAAGACAGAAAAGGAATGCAGCCGCCATATCTAAGGACAGGTAATCTGCGGTAATATTGGGTTCAGATCCGCTGTAATCCGTACACTTCCACCATACACAGGCCTCACGGAACATGAAACCTGCCACTGCAGACCCTTCCATGACCCGCCAACGAACATTCATTCATCGAATTGCGAGATACTGCTGATAGCGGCCAATCAGATTTCAGCTATTTCCTGCAGTCAGTAACAATACTAAAGCCAATCGTGGATCACAATTCTGCAGGTTCAGCAGGGATTGGCCCAATCGTGATCCATGTATGGGAACCCTCGTTGTACAGAATCTACCCATCGACTTTCTGTACAATCATTGGATACATTCTGCTCGATCAGCACTGCCAGCTACAGCCGACAGCACAGATCAGTGCATTCTGGGGGAAGCCTCCCGCCTTCAGAACACAATATATGAGTGGGAGGGATTCCCCCATCATCACTGAATGGATGGGTGGGGAATCAGGTCAGACCCATCTATGGGCAGCTTAGCACATGACTGGCCAGTCTCAGAATCCACCCCTGAGGCTGCCCCGCCTGCCATGTATGGACTGCTACAGATGAACACGCCAACACGGCTACTTACCTCCTCAATGAAGTTTCCGATCTCATCGGGATTGGCTGGTCTTGGCCGGTACTGAGGAGCCGGCATGAGCGTCGGGGCGACATCATTCCGAATGACCTCGGGGCGGGCATCCAGACCACGGTGAAGCTGGCCGAGGTCAAAGTCCTGGGGGGGTAAAAGCAAAGTTCAGTTCTGGTTCTTCAGAAGATGTGACCTAATCACTACACAGCTGAAAGCTGAAATCCGGCTTGCAGAAGGAATGGCTGATCTAAGAATTGGTGGGTGGGGGGTGCAGGTCCTTGGCTGGACTGGAGTGGGGGCGCTCTGACCCATGGGGGGGGCCGAGGTGGTGGAACCTGCCAGAGACGTCCACATGAGGGGATTCTGGGTAATGAAGCGAATGTTCCGTACCTGATCCTCCTCTCCGCCCCCTTCCTCGTCGTAGCAATAGACGTTGTCACGCGTTTCGTCTTCAGGAGGCAGCAATGGCTCCTTCTCCACCTTCTTCTTCCTCATAAACAGCAGAAGCAGCAACAGCAGAACTACGAAGGAGAAACAAACGGATGAGAACGGAGGGAGATCCAACCACAACATCGAAAGGGGGAAACACACAGCATGAAAGCCGGAGGGAGATCCATTCACCACAACACTCGATATGAGGGGGAAACACACAGCATGAAACCCAGCGAGCCGGAGGGAGATCCATTCACCACAACACTCGATATGAGGGGGAAACACACAGCATGAAACCCAGCGAGCCGGGGGAGATCCATTCACCACAACAGATATGAGGGGGCTAATGAATGAAAATCACACGGGACTTCACGGAACATTTTGTATGAAGTTCCATTCCTCTATACACAACTAACACACACAATATAACAAACGTCCTATAAATCCTACACCTTCACTACACCTCTACTGCACCTCCACTACCCCACTATCTCTACACCTCTACTGCACCTCTACTGCACCTCCACTACCCCACTATCTCTACACCTCTACTGCACCTCCACTGCACCTCCACTGCACCTCCACTGCCCCTACTATCTCTACACCTCTACTACCCCACTATCTCTACACCTCTACTGCACCTCTACTACCCCCACTATCTCTACACCTCTACTGCACCTCTACTGCACTGCCCCACTATCTCTACACCTCTACTGCACCTCACTGCACCTCCACTGCCCACTATCTCTACACCTCTACTGCACCTCCACTGCCCTACACCTCTACTACCCCACTATCTCTACACCTCTACTGCACCTCTACTACCCCACTATCTCTACACCTACTGCACCTCTACTGCACCTCCTACTACCCCACTATCTCTACACCTCTACTGCACCTCTACTGCACCTCCACTGCCCCACTATCTCTACACCTCTACTGCACCTCTACTGCACCTCCACTGCCCTACTATCTCTACACCTCTACTACCCCACTATCTCTACACCTCTACTGCACCTCCACTGCACCTCCACCTCTACACCACTATCTCTACACCTCTACTGCACCTCTACTGCACCTCCACTGCCCCACTATCTCTACACCTCTACTGCACCTCCACTGCACCTCCACTGCCCTACTATCTCTACACCTCTACTGCACCTCCACTACTACTACCCTACTACCCCACTATCTCTACACCTCTACTGCACCTCCACTGCCCTACTATCTCTACACCTCTACTGCACCTCCACTGCACCTCCACTACACCACTATCTCTACACCTCTACTGCACCTCCACTACCCCTACTATCTCTACTGCACCTCTACTACCCCACTATCACTACACCCTACTGCACCTCTACTACCCCACTATCTCTACACCTCTACTGCACCTCTACTACCCCACTATCTCTACACCTCTACTGCACCTCTACTGCACCTCTACTACCCCACTATCTCTACACCTCTACTGCACCTCCACTACCCCACTATCTCTACACCTCTACTGCACCTCCACTACACCTCCACTACACCTCCACTACAGTGATCTCCACTCCCGGTCCTGTGCAAGTGGCTGCCCTGCTGCATTGTGAACACAGGAGGCTGCCGGCTCTTCCGGGGACCATTCAGAGAATTCTTTGCATTTTCTCAGTGAATACAAAGAAATGAGTGAATGGTTGAAGTGGAGAGCATGATGTCACTGCCCCGCCTTGTCCAATCACAGAATGCTATATTAACAACCTTTCCTGGGTGGATATATAAAGAAGTAACAGAAAGGCGACAGGTTTTACCATTTCTGGGGCAAATGCTGCTCCAGGCTCCATTCAGTGCTGCTCACATGATTCCAGGCGCCTGTTCTTCTGGAGAAGTTCCGATTTCCGGTTGGTTGGCTTTCCTCCTCAGAAGTGGTCAGGTGACCGTTGGCCTTCACACTGTGGTCAGCACTGACAGGAGCCTGCAGCAGCATTTCTGTGGTCGTCTGTGAATATCCGTTTATAATGAATGTCTCTGCCCAGCGGATGGTGGGAATGGTGAAGCTGTATGCCCCTCCCCCCTCCCCTCCCCCGAGCAGACCAATAGTACTTACTGAGAAGAGCCAGGATCCCCCCGAGGATCCCCAGGATGACCGGGATGCCCAGGCCTCCAGCCAATGCCTTTGCACTCTCGCAGTTATTCTCGGCTGTACACTGGCACACTTGCATCTTCAGCATCGTCACGTTCGTCACGTCCCCCGCATCGGCGATGGTGACGGGTATCTGATAGACGTCTTCTGCCATTTCCCTGACTGGCTTAATCTCCAATTCTGTACAAAAAGAAGGACCGATGACTCCAAGAGCGAACATTTCCCGCACCACAGGGCTGAGCACTCATTTCAGCACGCAGTATATATATAATATTGAATGCGGCCAGAATTGGAGCATTTCAAACGTGTCGATATATTGGGGAAGAAGATTTCTAAAATAGATTTCAAATATATTTTTCTTCCATGTGGGGACTTTCTGGCGGCCATCAAATATGAGTTGATTGGCCATGTTGGAAATTTTTTGAAAAAACGAACGAATTTCTAATCAATGATGGAAGAATCGGGCGAGAAATGTCATCGAAAAAGAAATGAGCCGCGACCTGAAAAGGAAATTCTTGGCCATGAAAATTCTTTTCCGCAGCAACACGAGGAGGAGACTTAATCAATGGTGGCGGATTACAAAACGCACAAAATTTCTGATTTTCTAAAGAAAATTTGTTCAGAATTCGACCCGTGTATGGCCAGCTTTACACTGTATTGCCAAAAGTATTGTCCCCGCCCCTCCCAATCATGTGATTCAGGTGTTCCAATCCCCTCCATATCATGTGATTCAGGTGTTCCAATCCCCTCCATATCATGTGATTCAGGTGTTCTAATCCCCTCCATATCATGTGATTCAGGCGTTCCAATCCCCTCCATATCATGTGATTCAGGTGTTCCAATCCCCTCCATATCATGTGATTCAGGTATTCCAATCCCCTGCCAATCATGTGACTCAGGTGTTCCAATCCCCTCCATATCATGTGACTCAGGTCTTCCAATCCCCTCCCAATCATGTGATTCAGGTGTTACAATCCCCTCCATATCATGTGATTCAGGTGTTCCAATCCCCTCCAATCATGTGATTCAGGTGTTCCAATCCCCTCCATGGACACAGGTGGATACAATCAGCCCCTAGGCATGCAGACGGCTTCTACAAACATTGGTGAAAGAATGGGTCGCTCTCAGGAGCTCAGTGACTCCAAGCGTGGTCCCGTGATAGGTGGCCACCTGGGCAATAAGTCCATCACAATATGGTGTAAGTAGATAGGGACAGTCATAGTCTCCCGGATCGGGGGGGGGAGGGGGGGTTTTGTATCTGTAAGACTGCATACGATTTTGCGGGGCTTTGTTTTCTGGGTGCAGGAACTGAACCACGCCCCCACTTTACACGTGATGTGGAGTTTTATCATGTATGAGCGAAGCATGGACACTTACTATGATCCACCACACTGATGGTCCAGTTGTCACGAGCTTCACGATTCAGCATTGCCCTGTAGGGGGCGGTGAATGGGGGCTGATCTCTGTCAATGATATTAATGGATATGGGGTCTGGACTCTTCAGGCAGTATACGGCATCTTGATATTCCAAATACGGTCCGTTGTCATTCACATCTGTAAGTTTGACCTGAAGGGTGCCGGTCCCCGTGGCTGGGGGTGAACCTGGAGGAACCACAATATATATTAAAGAACTCAACTCCATCATAATATACGCATTCTTCCCACTGACCCCCCCCAATGTAAGGGACATTCTTCCCACTGACCCCCCCCAATGTAAGGGACATTCTTCCCACTGACCCCCAATGTAAGGGACATTCTTCTCACTGACCCACCAATGTAAGGGACATTCTTCCCACTGACCCCCAATGTAAGGGACATTCTTCCCACTGACCCCCAATGTAAGGGACATTCTTCCCACTGACCCCCAATGTAAGGGACATTCTTCCCCACTGACCCCCCCCCCCCCCCAATGTAAGGGACATTCTTCCCACTGACCCCCAATGTAAGGGACATTCTTCTCACTGATCACCAATGTAAGGGACATTCTTCCCACTGACCCCCAATGTAAGGGACATTCTTCCCACTGACCCCCAATGTAAGGGACATTCTTCCCACTGACCCCCAATGTAAGGGACATTCTTGACCCCCACTGACCCCCCCCAATGTAAGGGACATTCTTCCCACTGACCCCCAATGTAAGGGACATTCTTCCCACTGACCCCCAATGTAAGGGACATTCTTCCCACTGACCACCAATGTAAGGGACATTCTTCCCACTGACCCCAATGTAAGGGACATTCTTTCCACTGACCCCCAATGTAAGGGACATTCTTCCCACTGATCACCAATGTAGGGGACATTCTTCCCACTGATCCCCAATGTAAGGGACATTCTTCCCACTGATCACCAATGTAGGGGACATTCTTCCCACTGACCCCCAATGTAAGGGACATTCTTCCCACTGACCCCCAATGTAAGGGACATTCTTCCCACTGACCCCCAATGTAATGGACATTCTTCCCACTGATCACCAATGTAAGGGACATTCTTCCCACTGACCCCCAATGTAAGGACATTCTTCTTCCCTTCCCCACTGACCCCCAATGTAAGGGACATTCTTCCCACTGACCAGCAATGTAAGGGACATTCTTCCCACTGACCCCCAATGTAAGGGACATTCTTCCCACCGACCCACCAATGTAAGGGACATTCTTCCCACCGACCCCCAATGTAAGGGACATTCTTCCCACCGACCCCCAATGTAAGGGACATTCTTCCCACAGACCCCCAATGTAAGGGACATTCTTCCCACTGACCCCCCCAATGTAAGGGACATTCTTCTCTCTGACCACCAATGTAAGGGACATTCTTCTCCCTGACCACCAATGTAAGGGACATTCTTCCCACTGACCCCCAATGTAAGGGACATTCTTCCCACTGACCCCCAATGTAAGGGACATTCTTCCCACTGACCCCCAATGTAAGGGACATTCTTCCCACTGACCCCCAATGTAAGGGACATTCTTCCCACTGACCCCCAATGTAAGGGACATTCTTCCCACTGACCCCCAATGTAAGGGACATTCTTCCCCTGACCACCAATGTAAAGGGGACATTCTTCCCACTGACCCCCCCAATGTAAGGGACATTCTTCCCACTGACCCCCAATGTAAGGGACATTCTTCTCCCTGACCCCCAATGTAAAGGGACATTCTTCCCACTGACCCCCAATGTAAGGGACATTCTTCTTCCACTGACCCCCCAATGTAAGGGACATTCTTCCCACTGACCCCCAATGTAAGGGACATTCTTCCCACTGACCCCCAATGTAAGGGACATTCTTCCCACTGACCCCCCAATGTAAGGGACATTCTTCCCACTGACCCCCAATGTAAGGGACATTCTTCCCACTGACCCCCAATGTAAGGGACATTCTTCCCACTGACCCCCCAATGTAAGGGACATTCTTCCCACCGACCCCCAATGTAAGGAACATTCTTCCCACTGACCCCAATGTAAGGGACATTCTTCCCACTGACCCCCCCAATGTAAGGGACATTCTTCCCACTGACCCCCCCAATGTAAGGGACATTCTTCCCACTGACCCCCAATGTAAGGGACATTCTTCTCCCTCCCACTGACCCCCAATGTAAGGGACATTCTTCTCACTGATCACCAATGTAAGGGACATTCTTCCCACTGACCCCCAATGTAAGGGACATTCTTCCCACTGACCCCCAATGTAATGGACATTCTTCCCACTGACCCCCCAATGTAAGGGACATTCTTCCCACTGACCCCCAATGTAAGGGACATTCTTCCCACTGACCCCCAATGTAATGGACATTCTTCCCACTGACCCCCAATGTAATGGACATTCTTCCCACTGACCCCCAATGTAATGGACATTCTTCCCACTGACCCCCCCAATGTAAGGGACATTCTTCCCACTGACCACCAATGTAAGGGACATTCTTCCCACTGATCACCAATGTAAGGGACATTCTTCCCACTGACCCCCAATGTAAGGGACATTCTTCCCACTGACCCCCAATGTAATGGACATTCTTCCCACTGACCCCCCAATGTAAGGGACATCCTCCCCATTGACCCCCAATGTAAGGGACATCCTCCCCATTGACCATCACACTGATGTATCCGGAGTTGTAGATATGGTCATTATCAGGGGTTCTCTGAGACCGGAAAGTTATTTCCTGGGTTCCTCTGGTTGAGGAAGGCCACATTAGAGTGCAGTAAGAGGAGCATCTGAAGAGAAGTTCTGCCCTTTATATATATTTCTGGGAATGTAGAATTGTGATGAAGTCAATGTGTCAGATCAGGACTTGTTCTGGTTGTGGTGTGAATGGCCGGCCCCAGGCTGCTGTGAGAAGACCTCCCATGGCTGATGTAGTCCTGTGGATCTCCCCATCACCTCCCATCCCGGTGACAATGGTCACCCAGACATATGGAGAGGGTGAAAGTACCTCCAAGTGATGATCTGATGCCACCACCTTTACCATCCCCCCTCTGCCATGAAGCCGTGTGCTCCCTTGTATGTCATTTGTCCCGACCACATAACATACAAATCCCCAAACGATCGTCCAGAGACCTCGGAGACTCACCATTGTCCACAGCCAAGATGATGGCTCTATAAGTGCCGTTCTTCACAAACACGGACTCCCGATCCAACTGTCCGTTTCCTGTGATGATTCCATTCTCCGGGTTCACGCTGAGCCACCCGGCCGGGTCATTGCCCATCTTATAGCTGCAGGAAAACATTTAGAAAGTTCATCATCACCAACGTCTAAGCTTTGGGGTCGGATATATTTCACTGATCGCTTTATCACAGATTACAGGCAAGACGATCGATCGGACTAAATCTGTCACATCCAACAATCTGCAAATGTAAAATGGGACAAAGGACTTTTCTTTGATAAAGTGGTAAAAGCCAGGAAGAGGTTCCCTTCCTGTGAGGCTCAGAGAAGAAATGGGGGAGTGCGGGATCTCCGGGACAGGAAGGAGAGCAATACAAAGAACGGCAGAATTTTCAGGCCTTCACTCTAATAAAAGTGTTTTTGGTTTTGTTTTGTGACCCCATTGAGGAGGCAGAGAGAGGACATCAACCGGGACAAAGCAATGAAAACCCGACAGAGGCTCCAACCCTTTCCTGCTCCATCCAAAACAAAACAAACCATTTTGGCTGGTGGTGGTCCTTGTTGGGCTCACAGATACGTCCCACCAGCGTCACCAACTGTGGCTTTGCCAAGCTCTTGGCTGAGCTGTGTGGCCGGCACTTTATATCTGGGAAGATGTAGAAATGTGAAGGATGACGGATGTAGAAATGTAGAAATAGGAAGGATGATGGATGTAGAAATAGGAAGGATGACGGATGTGGATGTAGAAATATGAAGGATGACGGATGTAGATGTAGAAACATGAAGGATGACGGATGTAGAAATAGGAAGGATGATGGATGTGGATGTAGATATATGAAGGATGATGGATGTAGATGTAGAATATGAAGGATGATGGATGTGGATGTAGAAATATGAAGGATGATGGATGGATGTAGAAATATGAAGGATGATGGATGTGGATGTAGAAATATGAAGGATGATGGATGTGGATGTAGAAATATGAAGGACGATGGATGTAGATGTAGAGATATGAAGGATGACGGATGTAGATGTAGAGATATGAAGGATGATGGATGTAGATGTAGAAATAGGAAGGATGATGGATGTAGATGTAGAAATATGAAGGATGATGGATGTGGATGTAGAGATATGAAGGATGATGGATGTAGATGTAGATATATGAAGGATGATGGATGTGGATGTAGAGATATGAAGGATGATGGATGTAGATGTAGAAATATGAAGGATGATGGATGTGGATGTAGAGATATGAAGGATGATGGATGTAGATGTAGATATATGAAGGATGATGGATGTAGATGTAGATATATGAAGGATGATGGATGTAGATGTAGATATATGAAGGATGATGGATGTGGATGTAGAATATGAAGGATGATGGATGTGGATGTAGAGATATGAAGGATGATGGATGTGATGTAGATATATGAAGGATGATGGATGACGGATGTAAATATATGAAGGATGATGAATGTGGATGTAGATATATGAAGGATGATGGATGTGGATGTAGAGATATGAAGGATGATGGATGTAGAAGGATGTCGGGTTCTAGTAACAGAAATCCTACAATCACCACTCACGTGATCTTTTGAATCTGCGCCTTGTCGGGGTCCTGAGCCGTGTAGGACGCCACCTCTTGGCCGCTCGGCAGATCCTCCGAGACAGTGACCTCCTTCACTGGCGGTACGAAGACCGGAGCCTCATTCAAATCCTCCACATCCACTGTCACGGTGGCGGTTGAAGTTGTCAGCCGGACAGTAAAGTTGGCTTTGTTGGTGGCCACAACCAACAGGATGTATTGTCTCTTCGTTTCAAAGTCCAGTTCCTGCAATCAGGAGGAAATGATTGGTTAGATTCTCCAGAATTGGAGCAGCTCGATCTAATGCATCGATTATTATCACTGCTCATTACATAGGCGGGGCTCTGCTTCCTGCTTAGATGTGCAGCACAGTGATTGTTTTATTTTTGTTCATTTTCTAATGCAGTTCGGCATGTCTGGACCCATAGAAATATACCCAACCAGAACCCCAACTATACCCATAGAAATATACCCAACCAGAACCCCAACTATACCCATAGAAATATACCCAACCAGAACCCCAACTATACCCATAGAAATATACCCAACCAGAACCCCAACTATACCCATAGAAATATACCCAACCAGAACCCCAACTATACCCATAGAAATATACCCAACCAGAACCCCAACTATACCCATAGAAATATACCCAACCAGAACCCCAACTATATACCCATAGAAATATACCCAACCAGAACCCCAACTATACCCCATAGAAATATACCCAACCAGAACCCCAACTATACCCAACCAGAACCCCAACTATACCCATAGAAATATACCCAACCAGAACCCCAACTATACCCACAGAAATATACCCAACCAGAACCCCAACTATACCCACAGAAATATACCCAACCAGAACCCCAACTATACCCATAGAAATATACCCAACCAGAACCCCAACTATACCCATAGAAATATACCCAACCAGAACCCCAACTATACCCACAGAAATATTCCAAACCAGAACCCCAACTATACCCACAGAAATATACCCAACCAGAACCCCAACTATACCCATAGAAATATACCCAACCAGAACCCCAACTATACCCATAGAAATATACCCAACCAGAACCCCAACTATACCCATAGAAATATTCCCAACCAGAACCCCAACTATACCCATAGAAATATTCCCAACCAGAACCCCAACTATACCCATAGAAATATACCCAACCAGAACCCCCAACTATACCCATAGAAATATACCCAACCAGAACCCCAACTATACCCATAGAAATAATCCCAACCAGAACCCCAACTATACCCATAGAAATATACCCAACCAGAACCCCAACTATACCCATAGAAATATACCCAACCAGAACCCCAACTATACCCATAGAAATATACCCAACCAGAACCCCAACTATACCCATAGAAAAATACCCAACCAGAACCCCAACTATACCCATAGAAATATACCCAACCAGAACCCCAACTATACCCATAGAAATATACCCAACCAGAACCCCAACTATACCCATAGAAATATACCCAACCAGAACCCCAACTATACCCATAGAAATAATCCCAACCAGAACCCCAACTATACCCATAGAAATATACCCAACCAGAACCCCAACTATACCCATAGAAATATACCCAACCAGAACCCCAACTATACCCATAGAAATAATCCCAACCAGAACCCCAACTATACCCATAGAAATATACCCAACCAGAACCCCAACTATACCCATAGAAATATACCCAACCAGAACCCCAACTATACCCATAGAAATATTCCCAACCAGAACCCCAACTATACCCATAGAAATAATCCCAACCAGAACCTCAACTATACCCATAGAAATATACCCAACCAGAACCCCAACTATACCCATAGAAATATACCCAACCAGAACCCCAACTATACTCATAGAAATATACCAACCAGAACCCCAACTATACCCATAGAAATATACCCAACCAGAACCCCAACTATACCCATAGAAATATACCCAACCAGAACCCCAACTATACTCATAGAAATATACCCAACCAGAACCCCAACTATACCCACAGAAATATTCCCAACCAGAACCCCAACTATACCCATAGAAATATTCCCAACCAGAACCCCAACTATACCCATAGAAATATTCCCAACCAGAACCCCAACTATACAGAACTATACTCTGAGGGACAAGACCTAGTTGTATGATATAAATGGAGTAAAAGTTGGATCTCCAGGTTGGCTGTGCGGAGTCGTTGTGTACATCTCAGGAATCGATGGAGATGAAAGTATTCGGCTGATTCCTGAGTCCGGCTCTACAGAAGGACAGTCGGCTCACCTTCACAGTGGTCAGCCTCCCCATGTTGTCCGGGGTGGTAGTGATGCCGAATTGGTTTCCTTCGTTGCCTTTAACAATCCTATACACGGCTGTCCAGGCGTCTGTGTTGGGGACGTCGTCATCTGTGACCGTCAGCAGCGTCACCTCGTACCCCACTGCGTTCTCAGGGACCTTCGCCAAGTACTGAAATGAGGAGATTTCACATCAGAACTACAACATAATGGCCTCCATGAATGTACAACTATTTGTCAGGGGCTCTACAAAGTGTGTACAGGACCATAACAAGATGGCCTCCATGTACGGGACCATAACAAGATGGCCTCCATGTACGGGACCATAACGAGATGGCCTCCATGTACGGGACCATAACAAGATGGCCTCCATGTACGGGACCATAACGTGATGGCCTCCATGTACGGGACCATAACGAGATGGCCTCCATGTACGGGACCATAACAAGATGGCCTCCATGTACGGGACCATAACGTGATGGCCTCCATGTACGGGACCATAACAAGATGGCCTCCATGTACGGGACCATAACGAGATGGCCTCCATGTACGGGACCATAACAAGATGGCCTCCATGTACGGGACCATAACAAGATGGCCTCTGTCAATGGAAACCCTACAAAATGGATATTAAATGGCGTTTGTGTGAAGGACTACAAGAGGAGGACATGTGGCAGCATTTGAGGAACCTGGAAGTTGGAATGGGCCCTAAGAGCCCTACACAGCGGACCCAGGATACAGGACTATGGCAAATGGCTCCTGGCAACAAGAATTAACGTGCAGCTAAACCTCCAAAACATGTATTATACTGCAGCTTACCAGTCCTTAGAGGTGGTGACTGCATTAGTTTTCTTTTTCATGCCTTTTCCCTTTATTTTCACATGACAATTCTGCAGTTATTACACTTTCTGCCCTGGTGGCTACGCTCCACTGTATCAATGAAAGGCGCCAAGGTTGTCTCCCAGGCTGGGACTACGAAACATTCATCCTCTCTTCATCTCCTTCACATTGGGGGACGGGGGGGGGGACGGGGGGGGTGTAGGTTACAGAAGGAAGAGAACATTGTTGGTACTTTCTGTTGATCTCACTAGAAATGTCCTTCCATGTGAGCTGAACGGGAATTTTCTGTTCTTGCTAATAATTTAATAAAGAAAAAGAAAACGAATGCAGCCGAATATCCGAGGACTGTTACATTGTTACATTACACGACGTTCCTGTTGTTGGGTTCCGATATCCTCCTGGAAATCATTCATCTGCAATTCAGAACCTCCAAAAAACAGAGCGATACATCATGGCAGAACGTGGCACACTCACCGTGGCGGGATCAAATACCGGAGCGTTGTCATTGGAGTCTGTTACTGTGATCACAGCTGTGGCGGTGGCTTCGTATCCAAAACCCTCCTGATCCGTGGCCTTGACAATCAGAGTGTACACAGGATACAGCTGCAGGGGAGAGGAAGGTCATTCATGAATACTATGTGCCCGAGATACAACCGGAAATACTAAAACTTGGCAAGGGAAAGGGACAGGCTACTACACAGCTACTACACTGTTACTACACCCCTACTACACCCCTACTACACAGCTACTACACCCCTACTACACAGCTACTACACTGTTACTACACCCCTACTACACAGCTACTACACTGTTACTACACCCCTACTACACAGCTACTACACCCCTACTACACCCCTACTACACAGCTACTACACCCCTACTACACCCCTACTACACAGCTACTACACCCCTACTACACCCTTACTACACAGCTACTACACTGTTACTACACTGTTACTACACAGCTACTACACCCTACTACACCCCTACTACACAGCTACTACACCCCTACTACACCCCTACTACTACACCCCTACTACACAGCTACTACACCCCTACTACACCCCTACTACACCCCTACTACACAGCTACTACACAGCTACTACACCCCTACTACACCCCTACTACACCCCTACTACACAGCTACTACACCCCTACTACACCCCTACTACACCCCTACTACACCCCTACTCACAGCTACTACACCCCTACTACACAGCTACTACACCCCTACTACACCCCTACTACACCCCTACTCACAGCTACTACACCCCTACTACACAGCTACTACACCCCTACTACACAGCTACTACACCCCTACTACACCCCTACTACACAGCTACTACACAGCTACTACACCCCTACTACACCCCTACTACACAGCTACTACACCCCTACTACACCCCTACTACACAGCTACTACACCCCTACTACACAGCTACTACACCCTACTACACAGCTACTACACCCCTACTACACAGCTACTACACTGTTACTACACCCCTACTACACAGCTACTACACTGTTACTACACCCCTACTACACAGCTACTACACCCCTACTACACCCCTACTACACAGCTACTACACCCCTACTACACCCCTACTACACAGCTACTACACCCCTACTACACCCTTACTACACAGCTACTACACTGTTACTACACACTGTTACTACACAGCTACTACACCCCTACACACTACACCCCTACTACACAGCTACTACACCCCTACTACACCCCTACTACACCCCTACTACACAGCTACTACACCCCTACTACACCCCTACTACACCCCTACTACACAGCTACTACACCCCTACTACACCGCTACTACACCCCTACTACACCCCTACTACACCCCTACTACACAGCTACTACACCCCTACTACACCCCTACTACACCCCTACTCACAGCTACTACACCCCTACTACACAGCTACTACACCCCTACTACACCCCTACTACACCCCTACTCACAGCTACTACACCCCTACTACACAGCTACTACACCCCTACTACACAGCTACTACACCCCTACTACACCCCTACTACACAGCTACTACACAGCTACTACACCCCTACTACACCCCTACTACACAGCTACTACACCCCTACTACACCCCTACTACACAGCTACTACACCCCTACTACACAGCTACTACACCCCTACTACACAGCTACTACACCCCTACTACACAGCTACTACACCCCTACTACACAGCTACTACACCCCTACTACACCCCTACTACACCCCTACTACACAGCTACTACACCCTTACTACACCCCTACTACACTGTTACTACACCCCTACTACACAGCTACTACACCCCTACTACACCCTTACTACACCCTTACTACACAGCTACTACACCCCTACTACACCGCTACTACACAGCTACTACACCGCTACTACACCCCTACTACAGTGATCTCCACCAGCTGTGCTGCATCCTCATGCATTGTGAACATGAGAGGTCAGGCGATCCACACACATGTGCCATTCAACGAATGCAAAGTATTCTCTGGTTGGACAAGGTGGAGAGGCAGGGCAGTGACATCATGCAATCCACCTCATCCAATCAGAGAATACTTTGTATTCACTGAGAAAATGCAAAGTGATCTCTGGGTGGCACCTGGGCCAAGGGGCTGACCTCCTGTGTTCACAAAGCGGCAGGGTAGTCACTTGCCAGGGGATCTGGAACCTAGTGGGGATTACTGGAGTAGAGGGGAAGTGGCAGTTGTTGTCATGATCCCTCCTACACTTATTTACAGCTTCTAGCTCCTCCCACAGGTCTGGTATATACATAGTTGGTCCACGCCGCAACAATGTATTCACATAAAAACCGCCAGACCCCGAATTCTTCTTGAACTTGTTGCAGGGCGTGTCATCATTGTACAGAGGACGTGTGTAGCACGTCCAGTCTCTCTGCCTGTTGGCCAGGACCCCCCAACTCATCCCAGTGGACCAGTGGGTGTCAGTTGACAAGCGTCCACTGACACCTGCCGGCAGAAGGGGATCCATTCCCCACCCGTCTGGCGGATCGGAAGGGATGGCTGTCGGGTGGAAATGGACAGGCGGACTGTTTCCATCTGACTGCCCCATAGAAGACAGCGGTCTGTGTCCGCTCTGCAGCAGCGGAGAGGACACAGACCGGTCACCTGCCTGCTCAGTGGGGATCAGCGGAGAGACACCCCCCCCCCCCCCCCCACTGAGCAGGCGGATCCGCTGATGGGTCCGCCCCGTCTGAAAGGGGCCTTACACTTCCTCAGAGGAAATATAGAAAGATACAATGTAAACATATTGTTACTTTTGCATCATTCTGTTCATTCATCTGCAGATCAAAGGGATGAACTTCCATCTGCAGATGCCAATTAAAAAGACAAGTTCTGCTTTTTAAAATAAAATATTCCTGTCTAACCCCTCATTAACCCTTCGTTCACCCTAATCAGATCCAAACAGACACGCCCCCTGCGCTCCATGGCGGTACTCAGGCGTTGCCGTTTACTCTAATCAGATCCAAACAAACAGACACGCCCCCTGCGCTCCATGGCGGTACTCAGGCGTTGCCGACTCCTCTAATCAGATCCAAACAAACAGACACGCCCCCCGCGCTCCATGGCGGTACTCAGGAGTTGCCGTTTACTCTAATCAGATCCAAACAAACAGACACGCCCCCCGCGCTCCATGGCGGTACTCAGGCGTTGCCGACTCCTCTAATCAGATCCAAACAAACAGACACGCCCCCCGCGCTCCATGGCGGTACTCAGGAGTTGCCGACTCCTCTAATCAGATCCAAACAAACAGACACGCCCCCCCGCGCTCCATGGCGGTACTCAGGAGTTGCCGACTCCTCTAATCAGATCCAAACAAACAGACACGCCCCCCGCGCTCCATGGCTGTACTCAGGCGTTGCCCTTTACTCTAATCAGATCCAAACAGACACGCCCCCTGCGCTCCATGGCGGTACTCAGGCGTTGCCCTTTACTCTAATCAGCCCTAATTACCTTCGGATTCTCCATTCAATTATTATCATTTTCCGGCTGTTGTTCTGTTTTTGTTATTTTCTATTTTATTATCATCAATATTTCATTTCGTTTTGTTTTCTTTGTATTTTGTTATTTTTACACCTTTAACATTTATTTATACATTTCATGTTTTAAAAAGCAGAAAATGGAAATGAAGAAAAAACATTTTATTTCATTTGTAAACAACTTCGCAATGTTTTGCAGCAGAATCCTCATTTCCAGCCGGACAAATGACAGAATAAAACAAACGTTTTATGTTTAAACTAACGCTGCTCAAAAAAAAAAGAAAAAAAGAAAAAAAGTGATTTTGTTCCGTTTTGTTCCATTTTATTGTGTAAAGCCGGCCAATGACAGATTGAATCATCAGCAGGACAGGCGGAGATTCCATCCATCTATGGGCAGGCTGATTGTACCAAGTCGTTTGATCGATCGCCAGCATTATAGCCTGCAGCAGTAATCATTGTGTTCTCCTGGCAGCTACGGCTCCCTGCACCCCCTCCCTGCACCCCCTCCCTGCACCCCCCTCCCTGCCGGAACACCACCATGGGGTTGATTACTAAAGAACCCCTCGGGCACTTTGCAAAGAGCAGTGGCCCAGAACTTAGTAAATGAGGGGAAGCTCTGCTGACTTCCCTGCATCCAATCAGGTGCAAGCAAAAATGCTGTTTTTTCATTTTCCTTGCCTGTGATTGGGTGATCTTTGCAAAGTGAATCTTTATTTATTTACTAACTTCTGGAGCCAATCTACTTTAGAAAGTGCCCAGTCTATTTGCCTTTAGTAAACCAGCCCCATTGTGTTCTTCCGGTGCAAAGTGCCCAGTCTATTCACTTTAGTAAACCAGCCCCATTGTGTTCTTCCGGTGCAAAGTGCCCAGTCTATTCGCCTTTAGTAAACCAGCCCCATTGTGTTCTTCCGGTGCAAAGTGCCCAGTCTATTCGCCATAAACCAATCATTGTGCAGTGCAAAAATGCTTTAGTGCCCCATTGTTTTTCCGGTGCAAAGTGCCCAGTTTTCCTTTGTAAACCAGCCCATTGTGATTCCGGTGCAAAGTGCCCAGTCTTTCGCCTTTAGTAAACCAACCCCATTGTTTTCTTCCAGTGCAAAGTGCCCAGTAACTATTCACCTTTAGTAAACCAACCCCATTGCTTTGGTGCAAAGTGCCCAGTCTATTCGCCTTTAGTAAACCAGCCCCTATAGCTCCACTGCCTGTGTTGATGGGGAAATCAAGCGATTTTCTTTCCTGCAAGCCGTGGTTACAGGAAAGAAAATCGCATCCCCTATGGCCTCCTTTAAAACAAAAATCATGAAGAAAAGGCTTTGCTTGTCCTTCAGAAACAAATCGATATATTTCCTTAGTATGGTTTCTTAAGTAATGACAAAGTTGTGGAACAAACAGGTCCAGCAGAAATGTAAAAAACTGATCTGGTCCATAGGGGGTGAACCAGGGGGGGAGGGGAAGGGGAAAAGCGGTTACTTTGCCCGGAATGGGAAGTCACATTTGTGTACATTCAGTATGGATTATTATACCTGCGGGAAGGAAGGAGCACAATGAATCCCACCCAACCATGACAGGTACTCTTCACTGGACTTCTCCATCCCCACCTATCAGGAGAGCTGTCAGCATTTCCCTCCCTCCTGCAAGAACCGGAATACAATCTCCCACTTTCTAGTAGCGGCATCTTCCAAGGATTCTGTTCTACATCATGGGGAATCCATCCCTGGAGCAACACACAAGGAGCTGAGAAATGGCAGTTAGCCGGGACTGTGAGTGGTGGTGGGGAAGATATAGGAAGACTACAAACCTCGCGGTCCAATCCAGAGGACACAACACTGATCAGCCCGGAGGCGCGGTCGATGGTGAACATCATGCTGTTTGGTAATTGGGGATCCTGACTTACGATGAAGTAGGCGAGAATGCCGTTATTGGTGTCCTCGGTGTCATCGGCGTCTGTTGCCGTGACATTCATCACCGGAGTCCCTAGAGGGAGAAGAGACGGGACATTATACCGGAACCACCCGCAGGGAGCGCACACAGTGAGTGAGCATGTACTAAAGTCAGACCCCGGCACATAATATGATGAAAAAGCCAAATGACCATCCAGCACATCACCCCCCACCACCGAAAACCCAACACTTTCCACCCCAGAACCCCCGACAACCTGGAGTGGATCCAGGGGAAGTCATCTTCTAAAGGCCAATCCAATCTAATGCCGGCCATAAAACACCCAATCTGATTGTACAATCTCCTAGGATCTACCCAATCAATCCGTTCCATCTTACCAAACCAGGCAGGTCCATGCACTACACATTGATGGGAGATCTATAGTAGATTGTACAATTAGATTGTATAGTGTGTGGTCACCTTAAAGAAGAACTTAAATTAAAGTCAGCGGCTCCAAATGCTACAGCTGCTGATGTTTAATAATCTGGTACTTGGCAGTCCCTGGAGTCCAGCGCTGTATTCCTGCAGCCGGATCTTCCTCCCCAATACGGGCCCCCCCCGGTACCACCATCTTGGATTTGGGAGCCAGCTGTGGCCTCCAGAGGAATCAACCAGCTCCTCACTGAGCCATGCGTGAGTTGGCACAATGCAGGGAGACTAGTCCCGAGACTGAGAGCTAGAGGTGGGGGGAGGGCAATTCTCGTTGGTGAGAAATGAAGACGTGGGGGTGGGTATCTGTCAAAAAAGAGGTACCTACCCCCCCCCCCCCACACACACACCGTATATTACAAATATATTAGGATGTTTCTGAGATTGTTCCGACATCGAACTCATTCAGGGGACCCTCACCAGGCTGACTTTGCACTTCCATAGACTTGTATGGGGAAAGAAGCGATTCTAACGCCAACAGAAGCCGGATGATAGGGACAGGACTACAAACCCCAGAAAAGACGACTTACCTGGTATGGACCCTTCGACCACTGTGCCTACAAACACCTCCTCTATGAAGATGGGACGGTTGTCGTTCTGATCGGTCACCTTAATAATAATCTCTATGGGGGTCTCCACTTGCTGCCCATTGGATGAGATGGCGTAGACCAAGATCTGAAAGAAGAAAATGAACAATCCGTTATTTTAGAATCGTCTTGTCTGACGTATTCCACAAACTGGGAGGAATCCTGCGGTTCACCCAGCGACCTCCCCGAAATTTCATCCCACTATTACCACTCAATCTGACATCAGCCACTGCGTCCCGTTGTAGGAAACTCCCGTATTACAAGAGCGCCAGGCCAGGAGAACTAAAAATACAAATACTGCGAGCTCTTCCCTGCAGAAAAGACACGTTTCCTCCGCAGGAAAACAAACGTCCACCCGCTACTGGTCCATGTCCACCCGCTACTGGTCCTGCATAGAATGTATGCTGAGCTGTGCACATCCTCGGCACACCCCACATGTAGGTCTTCCTCCAACCTGTAGGTGGTGCTGTGCCATTGTCACATGTGGAGGGCAGTCTGCTGAGGGAGACGTCCCGTTATGGACTCCAAAGGGAAACAAAAAGAAAGCGCACCAACCTTGCGCATCACCTCAATCGAAAACCTGATTTGATTAAAATGAGAAATATTCTCACAAACAAAGCAGGAAAACAAGCGGGAAGATCCTCAAAGGAGCATTAAAGTGCAAGCCCATCAAGAGGAGAGACTCTCAAAGGTTCGGCTGACGCATTTCAAAGGGCGTCCTTCCTTCTCAGAGCTCATCTTTGTTTGTGAGTATAGATCTCATTTTAATCAAATCAAGTTTTATATATATTTATTTATTAATAGAATTAAAAATGTAATAAAAAAAACGGGGCCAAACAGTCAGACACATGACACAGGCCGGGCAGAGTCAGGCCAGGCAGAGTCAGCAGGCCGGGCAGAGTCAGGCCAGGCAGAGTCAGCAGGCCAGGCAGAGTCAGCAGGCCGGGCAGAGTCAGCAGGCCGGGCAGAGTCAGGCCAGGCAGAATCAGCAGGCCAGGCAGAGTCAGCAGGCCAGGCAGAGACAGGCCAGGCAGAGTCAGGCCAGGCAGAGTCAGCAGGCCGGGCAGAGTCAGGCCAGGCAGAATCAGCAGGCCAGGCAGAGACAGGCCAGGCAGATTTGACAGGCCGGGCAGAGACAGGCCAGGCAGAATCAGCAGACTGGGCAGAGTAGGCAGGCCGGGCAGAGACAGGCCGGGCATAGTCAGCAGGCCGGGCAGAGTCAGCAGGCTGGGCAGAGTCAGGCCAGGCAGAATCAGCAGGGGCAGAGTCAGCAGGCCGGGCAGAGTCAGGCCAGGCAGAATCAGCAGGCCGGGCAGAGTCAGCAGGCCGGGCAGAGTCAGGCCGGGCAGAGTCAGCAGGCCGGGCAGAGTCAGCAGGCCGGGCAGAGGCAGGCCGGGCAGAGGCAGGCTGGGCAGAGTCAGCAGGCCGGGCAGAGTCAGCAGGCCGGGCAGAGGCAGCCGGGGCAGAGGCAGGCCGGGCAGAGACAGGCCAGGCAGAGACAGGCCAGGCAGAGCAGGCCGGGCAGAGTCAGCAGGCCGGGCAGAGTCAGCAGGCCGGGCAGAGTCAGCAGGCCGGGCAGAGACAGGCCAGGCAGGTCTCATAGGTAATTAGTATTGGTACCAGATCACATTCTTGCTTACCGTATAGCTGGCTATTTTCTCTCTGTCCAGTGCCCGGGTCACGTTAAGCCATCCAGTAGTCCTCTCTATGACAAAGGTCCCCACGGGGGGAGAGTCGGCCCCTTGGCCTGTGATGCTGTAGAACACTTGAATTTCACTTGACCTGCTGGATTTGACCTGGAAGGAGGCAATATGGGAAATGGGAAGAGTGAGAAGGTTTCATAGAGGCACACGAGTCCCCATCGTTCACTTTATATGGGTGGAGGCTCCTTTTCAGGATTCTTAATTTTGCTCTATCCATGTGACCCCAGGGGTGTATTTACCACAAGGCAAACAAGGCATTTGACTAGGGCGGCTTTTTTCAGGGGGGCAGCAGGGGAGGTATTAGTGGAAGGCTATCTCAGGGGGGTGGGCAGGGGTGTTGTTGGTCAATGTCAGGCTCTCTCCGTGAGGAGCTCCCGATTTTTGTGTTGCCTAGGGCAGCACAATACCTAAATACACCCCAGTGTGACCCCATCTACTTTATTCTCCTAGTTTTCTGGGTGATATGTAGGATTGTCCCTAAACTGGGACTTCACTATATATACAAACGTTTGTGGACATCTAACCACAAATACATTACACTCACCGGCCACTTTATTAGGTCCACCTGTTCGATTGCTTGGTAACACAAATTGCTAATCAGCCAATCATATGGCAGCAACTCAATGCATCTAGATGTGGTGAAGACGACTTGCTGACGTTCAAACCAAGCATCAGAAAGGGGATTTAAGTGACTTGGAACGTGGCATAGTTGTGGGTGCCAAACAGGCTGGTCTGAGTATTTCAAAAACTGCTGATCTCCTGGGAATGTAACTCACAGCCATCTCTAAGGTTTACAGAGAAAATATCCAGTGAGTGGCAGTTGTGTGGAGGAAAATGCCTTGTTGGGGTCAGAGGTCAGAGGAGAATGGGCAGACTGGTTCCAGATGATAGAAAGGCAACAGTAAGTCTCGTCAATATGGACCAAATTCTCTGAGGAATGTTTCCAACACCTTGTTGGATCTATGCCACGAAGAATGAAGGCAAAAGGGGGTCCAACCAGGGACTAGCAAGGTGGACCTAATAAAGTGGCTGGTGAGTGTCTATGGCCTAAAGTATGTGGACAACCCCTTCAAATGATGGAGTTCAGGTGTCTCCAGAGAAGGGTCCTGGTAATCCTCCATCATACAAAGACATTGCGGACAATTGTGCTCTTCCAGCCTTGTGGTAACAGTTTGGTGAAGACCCTTTTCTGCCCCCCCATGACTGTCCCTCGTGTACAAAGCCGGCTCCATAAAGACATGGATGACCAGTTTGGTGAAGACCCTTTTCTGTCCCCCATGACTGTCCCCCGTGTACAAAGCCGGCTCCATAAAGACATGGATGACCAGTTTGGTGAAGACCCTTTTCTGCCCCCCCATGACTGTCCCCCGTGTACAAAGCCGGCTAAATAAAGACATGGATGACCAGTTTGGTGAAGACCCTTTTCTGTTCCCCCATGACTGTCCCCGGGTACAAAGCCGGCTCCATAAAGACATGGATGACCAGTTTGGTGAAGACCCTTTTCTGTTCCCGACCATGTTGTCCCCGTGTACAAAGCCGGCTCCATAAAGACATGGATGACCAGTTTGGTGTGGAGGAACCCCAGTGTCCTACACAGAGCCCCAATCTCAACCCTACTGAACATCTTTGGGATGGATTGGGACACTGATGGTGCGTCTTCTCATCCAACATCAGTATCTGACCACACAAATTTTATTTTTACTGAATGGGCACAACTTTCCACAGACTCTCCAAAATCCTGATAAAAGCCTTTCCAGAAAGGTTGTTATAGCCGTAAAGTGGGGCTGACACCATATTATTGCCCATGATATTGGAAACCTACATAGGTATCATGGTCATCACATAGTGTACCAGTGTGGCTCAAGGCCAGTTCTGTCACAGAAGGAAGACATGCTGAACACTCTGTGCGTGATCAATGTATGGTGGATTCTGAAGGAAAAAGGTGGGTGTTGTAGGTACCTGAATGAGCTTTTTAGGAAATGGGCCCCTTTCATTTTCAGAGCATTTAATTGGTGGGATGACCCAGTCTCTCTTCTGTCTCCGAAGCTCACGTGATGGATGTGAATGTTCAGCCTGCAGAAGACACAAACAATTAACACAATCAGTCAATTAAACTCTGTATAGATAAAAGTAGATCCACCCAAAGATGACGTTTCATTTTTCATGCCATCTGCTTTCTTCCTAAATCATTCTGGGACTCCAGCCACCAGACATCCCCATTGGAGCTCCCTACTCTCTGACCTGCCACCTTGAAATAGAAATCCCAGCAGCAATGGTGGAAACCCTTGACAAGTCCTCCCTGGGATGACCAGGCTTGGGGACATATTTCAGAAGTCTCTGAAACAAATTCTGTAAAACACAAAGCGGTTTTGGTGGAACAAATCCTTCATTGCTGCCCCAACCAAATTTGTTACACGGGAGGAAATACAGCAACGGCTGCAGCCTCCAAGGTTTGTTTATAAACAAACCTCATGTGGTCACCAAGTCATGGCGATTGTGTAGATCATATGATCAGAAACAATGCTGACTGATTCCGGACTGTTAGTGGAGTCCTGAGCAGAGGCGAACTGACCATTTGGGAACTCGGGCACTGCGCAAGGGCCCGGGGTCAGTAGGGGGCCCCATTAGATGCCCCTGGTACCTTTCATAGGCTTTTTTGGGTGTGGTTTGAGTGTGGGTGAGGACACAGCGGCCCCATAATCTCCTATTGCCCGGGGGGCCCCATGAGTTGTCAGTCCGCTGCTGGTCCTGAGCTGAGAGATTCGATGGCTGGGAGCACACGACTTGTGCATCCTCCCAGCTGGCAATCTGAAATGTAGGTTAATGTCCCCTCGGCATGGAATGCTACATGGAAAATGGCGGCTGCCTTCAGATGAACACGTTTAGTGCACGTTGCTGTGAGATGTACAAAACATTTGTCCCTTTTGCTTTATTGTATCAACAATCAGATATGACCTTCCATAGGATGTCATCTACTCAGGTCATACAACACTTCATATACGGCTTCCAATGGCACAGCCACAGACAATAGGGCGCCTCGGAGTGAGTCCTCCACTTTCATCTTCATTCTTGGTGCCACCTCTTCCCACGTCTGGATGGATCCTCCACAGTATAGCTGTACAAAGGAACCCGAGTACAATGCCTCCAGACCCATGGGTCCCCTGTGCTTGGATTCCATGACTTACCCCAGGGGACACATGGAGACGTATCGCAGGGTAGTCCCCCTGTGTGGTTCTGTGTGGACGGTCCAGCACCTCTCTGGGTCAGCTCTGCCTTACAATAGGTTCACAGTAAAGGGTATATTGTTGTAGAACTGAACCAGAACCCATTGCAGCTGCCCTGACTCTATGTACACCCCAACCCCACAGGGGTACACAGACCAGGATGACCATTTCAGCACCAATAACCCCCGTTCAGTCCGGCACGTCCTCTGCCAATGGTAATACTGTAAGTAGGAGCAGACATTAGGGGGCAGCATGGAAGGAAGACCCCGATCCTTCATACAGCCCGACCTACCTGCCCTGGATATTGGAGAAGACTCACCTGTCTGTGGTGGGGATGGCGTTTCCTCAATGTCACGGTGGTTTCAGTTAACACATTATTCCCCTCTAATGCCACAACACCGAACTCTCTGTGTCCATGAAGCCTCAGATGATCCTTGACTACGATGGAGCCATCAGCCTGAACTTCAAAATGAGAGTCTTTGGATTCAAAGCGAACGTTCGATTTCAGGCCGCAGGTAATGAAGACCACTGAAAGATAAAAGTCGTGAACATTGAGCTCATTCTCCAGGACATAGAGGTCATGTTTACTAAAGTCACTGAAATAAATATTGTGTAGAACTGCAATCATCTTTTCACATTAAAGTATATCTAAAGCCAAAAAATTGTTTTACTTTTTGATAGAGAGGGTTAGACCTCTGTCAGGCTTTTATTACTATCCGTGCTCTTGCTGGAGAGACCCCCCTCTGTATTTGGCCTGTATGTCACCAGGGCAGAGAGGTGAGGAGACACCCAAATTATTACCATTGGGGGGGGGGGCTCCAGTGGGAACATCTGCTCTCACTCTGGAGAGATTTGCCTTCATTTCCTGTTGTGTCTCCAGAACAGGAAATTGAGGAAATCTACCCAACAGGACCAAAAAAATCCACAACAAACAAAAAAAGCCTCTGATAGAATTCAACTACTTATTTCCTATGACCCTTTATTTCTCGTGAGCCGCCATTGATGTCTCTGGAGGTATTCTGAGAGGAGAGAAATCTAAGCAACAATCCTTGTCATCGACTTCATTATAGAACCCAACAAAGTGTCGATGTAACAAAGGAGCAGCAAATGCGGCTGATGTGTGGAATGTCGGAGCCACGTGCAGCCATTCTATGAATACACAATGCTTTCACCTGAAACCTGCACCTCCCTCTCCAAGAACTCGGCCCATTCATAGAGGTGTCTGTAATTACAAGGAGCTGATACCGGAAGGGCGGAATAATTAGCAGCTCCTTCTACCGAAAATAATCATTGCGAGGCAGTCCTGGTTATTAATGAATACCCAATCGATGTCTTACAAAATGGACGCACCATAGTTCATATGTGTCCCCTGCATCAAGTGCCACAGTATGGGTAGTGTACAGTATATATACTGTAAGTATGGACACAGGTGTTCCAATCCCCTCCATATCATGTGATTCAGGTGTTCCAATCCCCTCCATATCATGTGATTCGGGTGTTCCAATCCCCTCCATATCATGTGATTCGGGTGTTCCAATCCCCTCCATGGACACAGGTGTATACAATCACGCCCCTAGACATGCAGACGGCTTCTACAAACATTGGTGAAAGAATGGGTCGCTCTCAGGAGCTCAGTGACTCCAAGCGTGGTCCCGTGATAGGTGGCCACCTGGGCAATAAGTCCATCCGTGACATTTCCTGGATACTAAATATTCCACGCTCAACTGTTAGTGGGATTATAACAAAGTGGAAGCCACTGGGAACAACAGCCACTCAGCCACCAAGTGGTAGGCCACGTCACATGACAGGGCAGGGTCAGCGCATGCTGAAGCGCACAGAAGTCACCAACTGTCTGCAGAGTCAATAGCTAAAGACCTCCAAACTTGGTGTGGCCTTCAGATGAGCCCAACAACAGTGTGTAGAGAGCTTCATGGAATGGGTTTCCATGGCTGAGCAGCTGCATCCAAGCCTTCCATCACCAAGTGCAATGCAAAGCGTCGGATGCCGTGGTGTAAAGCATGCCGCCACTGGACTCTAGAGCAGAGGAGGCGTGTTCTCTGGAGTGACCAATCACGCTTCTCTGTCTGGCAATCCGATGGACATGTCTGGGTTTGGTGGTGGCCAGGAGAACTGTACTTGCCTGACTGCATTGTGCCAAGTGTAAAGTTTGGTGGAGGGGGATTATGGTGTGGGGGTGTTCTTCAGGGGGTGGGCTTGGCCCCCTAGTTCCAGTGAAGGGAACTCTTAAGGCGACATTTTGGACAATTTCATGCACCCAACTTTGTGGGAGGAGTTTGGGGATGGCCCCTTCCTGTTCCAACATGACTGCCCCCCAGTGCACAAAGCAAGGTCCATAAAGACATGGAGGAGCCAGTTTGGGGTGGAGGAACTTGACTGTCCTGCACAGAGTCCTGACCTCAACCCCATAGAACACCTTTGGGATGAATTAGAGTGGAGACTGCGAGCCAGGCCTCCTCCCCCGACATCAGTGCCTGACCTGACAAATGTGCTTCTGGAAGAATGGTCCAACCTTCCCATAGAGACCCTCCTAAACCTTGTGGACGGCCTTCCCAGGAGAGTTGAAGCTGTTATAGCTGCAAAGGGCGGGGCCAATTCAATATTGAACCCTACGGACTAAGACTGGGGGCCATTAAAGGTCATGTGCGTGGAAAGGGCGGGGCCAACTCAATATTGAACCCTATGGACTAAGACTGGGGGGCCATTAAAGGTCATGTGCGTGGAAAGGGCGGGGCCAACTCAATATTGAACCCTACGGACTAAGACTGGGGGGCCATTAAAGGTCATGTGTGTGGAAAGGGCGGGGCCAACTCAATATTGAACCCTACGGACTAAGACTGGGGGGCCATTAAAGGTCATGTGTGTGGAAAGGGCGGGGCCAACTCAATATTGAACCCTACGAACTAAGACTGGGGGGCCATTACAGGTCATGTGTGTGGAAAGGGCGGGGCCAACTCAATATTGAACCCTACGGACTAAGACTGGGGGGGCATTACAGGTCATGTGTGTGGGAATGCAGGCCGCCCAATACTGTGGGCAATTTAGTGTGTGTGTGTGTGTATATATATATATATATATATATATATACACACACACACACATACATACATGCATACACATACATATACATACATACATACATGCATACACATACATATACATACATACATACATGCATACACATACATATACATACATACATGCATACACATACATACACACACACACACACACACATATGTTGTATATCAAACAGCCATAGGACACTAGCTACTAAGTGCAGTACCAAAACTCTCCTGTAGATGTCACTGTCACAGCTGGAAGAACAAACGCTGCCCTATGGTATATGTTGCAGCCATTGCACTGAATTCTTCATAAACAGTATAGAATGGAGATAGAAGACATGTAAAAGCACTTAAAGAAAATCAGTAAAAAAAGAAGCCTATTCCGACTGCATGGGGTTTATTTACTAAAGCTGGAGAGTCCAAAATCAGACTCCCTTCTGCATAGAAACCAATCAGCTTCTAACCTCAGCTTGTTCAATGAAGCTTTGGCAATGAAACCTGGAAGCTGATTGGTTTCTATGCAGAAGGGAGTCTGATTTTGGACTCTCCAGCTTTAGTAAATAAACCCCCTGTGTCCATTATTTCCCCAACAATCCGATTTCTTCCTTCTCTCTGTTAATTTTCAATATTAACACAAAAAGACAAGAAATAGAACTTCCAGACGGACGACATTTACTAATATCTGGGCTACCAATACTCTCTGTGCTCAGCGGCACTGCGGGGGACACCACTTTGCGTAATGAAGTCACTCCATAGTCCGCCCTGATCCTAGGAGCTTACAATCTAAAAAAAAAGAGGGTCAAGTGATACAAGAAATGGGGGGGAGGAGCTGCTGGAGAAAATAAAGCTCCATGTGTTAGGTGGGGGGCAGGATAGGCTTCTCTGAAGAGGATGAAAATCATGTCGGCGTCCTGAAGCTGCTCTGCGCTCTTAGCTCCATAAAGACTCGGCGAGAGGCGCGCCCGACATCAGGTGCGCAACAAGCCGAGACCCGTCCATTACTGACAACTCCAAATTCCTGCCAGGAATCCCACCGCTGGATCCTCACAATGGTGCAGCAACAAAGGTCACCAAAGATGAGTGACTTTCACATTCATGGGGAGTATCCCTTTAATCCTGTCCAGGTTTGCTGCATCCGCCCTGCAATATGCTTTGGTAAGGAAGTACTGAACTCTTTGTACAATTACAGACCCCCCATGGTTTGCCCGGTGTGTCCCCATGGTCAACAGCTGGATTCAGGACAGCTAATAAATACAATAATATAATAAATACAATAATATAATAAATACAATAATATAATAAATACAATAAAATACAATAATATAATAAATACAATAATATAATAAATACAATAATATAATATAATAAATACAATAATATAATAAATACAATAATACAATAAATACAATAATATAATAAATACAGTAATATAATAAATACAATAATATAATACAAAATACAATAATACAATAAATACAATAATACACAATAATATAATAAATACAATAATATAATATATAATAAATACAATAATATAATAAATACAGTAATATAATAAATACAATAATATAATAAATACAATAATATAATAAATACAGTAATATAATAAATACAATAAAATAAATACAATAAAATAATAAATATAATAATATAATAAATACAATAATATAATAAATACAATATAATAAAATATAATAAATACAATAATATAATAAATACAATAATGGCAAATCACCAATACACAGATTAGCTCCAACTATTAAGACTTCTGTCCAATCAGAACATGGAATGGAGGACACATGTAGCCGATCTCCTCACTTTGATCTCAGGTTTGACCCTGGGCCGAGGGTCCTTTAAGGGGCTGTTAATGCCAGAAGCAGTAGGTGAGCTTGACGATCATGTGATCAGCTGTGACAACGATCACGTGATCAGGAGCCAATCAAAAGCTGTGACGGGATCCATCGGTGACGACTCTGCCACTGTGGTGGTAGAATACTCATTCGGGGCTCACGGCACAATGCCATCTATATGCGGCAAATCCAACACAGCAAACACTTCTCTCCTGCGCTGGGAATGGACTCAGCAGAACCAATGTGAACGTTCTGGAATATGTACTGCTTGATGCCCTCAGCAGACCGGAGCGGTCCAAAGTCACTAAATACAAATGAAAAAACAAAAAGAGGGCGCACCGGCCTACTGCATTATCGTTATAAAATATTTATTGAGAGAAAAGGTAAGTAAGTATCATACTCACAATGCACATCAACACAGGCAAAGCACAATCAACAAGGTGTTCAATCCAGCATCTGAGTCCATACGAGGCTCTTCCTCACAGCCAACACTTCAAGAGTCTGCACCTCTCCTATATAGGAGGACGAAGCTGAGTCCTCGAAACGCGTCAGCCAGTTGGTCATCCAGGGTTCCATCGTATGGACTCAGATGTTGTTTGGATCATACACCTTGTTCAGTCTGACATGCCTGTGTTTGTTATGTCCATTGTGAGTACGATACTTGTTCTTTCATTACCTATATGCGGCACCATGGAGGAAAGCCCACTTCCTATATTGTGTGACGTAGGGTTAGGGTAGGTAGGTGTTCATAATGCCGAGAATCCAATTTCATTTTTCTTTCATTATTCAGAGATCCCATCCAATGCTTCCATAATTTGGTTGCCTCCAAGGAATATGGGAACCCCCAAATGAGAACTCCCTGCTTACTAAACGTGTTTCCTCTTCGATAAGTATATACCACGTGTCCTAAATAACTGCAGTAAGGAGCGCCCATGCACAGGAGATAACCAGGCTCCATACCACGTGTTCTACCTGAAGTGACAACATGGGAAATGAAAGATAAAATCCAACATATGGCAGCTACGAAAGAAACCAATTCAGACAAGAAGCCCATCATCTGAGGAGGTCCACCTACGTACTGCAAATCAAAGGATTATGTGGGCTGTTTTGTGCTCGCTGCTAATCCCGTTCATTCAAATTTAATGGTCGGGTTACAACAGAGGGTGTTCTTGTGGCCGACTCCCTCGGGGGCTCTAGAAGTTTCACTATCATGAATCTTCTCTGTGGAAGCCATGAAGGGCCTAGGCCAAATTTATGGCTAAAATATAGCCACAGCCAACATCCAAAGATTAAATGTAAATCACCCATCAATGTGGGACAGCTCCACGCTGACTATGGCCGCTCAGGAACATTAAAACAACTTTCAGGCTCTCCTTTTACTTTCTGTGACGGGTTTGTTTAAAGTGTACCTGTACTTATATATACAGATGAACATATCTTGTTGTAGACAATGCACAACTTTACCATCTTCATTGGACAAACTACTTATGGCCAAAGGTTTTTGGATATCTGACTATCATAACTAACTATATGGCCCAATGTATGTGGAAAGCCCTCCAATTGATTGAGCTTCCACTGAAGGGTTCTAGTAATACTCCATCATACAA